TTCTTTCTTTTTTTTTTTTCTTTTTTCCAATAAGTGGCGCATGCCACTTTAAAATAGACAATATTTTATTTATTTATTATTTTAAAACTCTTTTATTTATTAAAATCAATTTTAATTTTCCAAATAAGTGCGCGCATGCCAACACTTTAAAATAGACAATATTCATTTATTATTATTTATTATTATTCTTAAAAACTCTTGTTATTTGCATTAAAAATTCAATTTTAATAAATAAAAAAATTATTTTTTTTTTCTTTTTTCCAATAAGTGGCGCATGCCACTTTAAAATAGACAATATTTTATTTATTTATTATTTTAAAACTCTTTTATTTATTAAAATCAATTTTAATAAATAAAAATTACAAAATAAATTCCTTCAGTTATATTTTAACAAATAAATTCCAATAAATAATGATAAATTCCAAAAATCAATAATAATCACTACTAATTAAAATTAATTACTAAAACAAATACTAATAATTATAATTAATTCCATTAATTACTTAAAAATAGCAATTTGGCCAATTAAATACCCAATAAATAGAGAAACTCCTATTAATTTAGAAAAAATATTATAAAATCAAATTGACACCATTTTCAATCCCAAGATTCAAATAACTAGGTGCAATTAGACTATATCGCACTAAATCTCACGATCGAGTTTCCTAAGGTACTGTTTCACAATTCGCAATCCAAATTCATTTAATGCATGAATAAACAAACTAAAATCATGCAATGCATGAATCCTAGTCAAGACTCAATAATTATGAAAATCCTGATAAATCATACCAAACCTCAAATTTGGTATCAATTAACAATCCAATAAGTTATTATATTTCAAAAATTAGGCGTTACGCGAGTAATGTCACGCCCGACTCAAATAACTATAGGAATTGTCCGCTTAGCCAAATCCATCTCATACTGGATTGGCAGGATCCGCACAGTTTTATCCCACAGGTGAAATGAAGAACTTCCCAGGTGGTCACCCATCTTAGGATCTCTGTTAAGCGAGCACGCTTAACCATGGAGTTCTTCCAATTCTCCAAAACATTTCACCAAAAAGCGCCTTTGTTGATTAGTTTCCCTCTTTTTGATATATGATTCAATTTATTCCTACGTCCCGCAATAGAGATATGATAGGCCCACCAGCTTCCGCGTGGTTCATCCTCGAACCATACATCTATTGAAGGGGGTCCGGCTCTGATACCGACTGTCACGTCCGACTTCAATCACTGGAGGAATTGTCCGCTTTGGATCAAGCCAAATCTATCCCATAGTGGATTGGCAGGATCCGTAAGGTTTTGTCCCGCAGGTGAAATGGGGAACTGAAATGGGTAACTTCTAAGGTGGTCACATATCTTAGGTAGGAATTGTCCGCTTTGGATCAAGCCAAATCTATCCCATAGTGGATTGGCAGGATCCGTAAGGTTTTGTCCCGCAGGTGAAATGGGGAACTTCTAAGGTGGTCACCAATCTTAGGATTTCCGTTAAGCGAGTACGCTTAACCTTGGAGTTCTTCCAACTCTCCAAGCCATTTCACCAAAAGGCGCCTCTGTTGATTAGTTTTCCCCTTTTCGATATATGATTCGATTCATTCCTGTGTCCCGTAGTCGGGATACCACAAGTAGCCATAACGACAAGCTGTCGGCCTCAATAAGTGGACAGCCTTCAGCGAATTCATGGGGTCTAGTCTCCCTCCAGCAACTGAAATGGATCAGTTAGCCAATATTTCAATAGTTGAAATGGTTTAGCTAGTCAACATCTACAGCTAAAATGCATTAGCTAGCCAACCCCTCTAGTTGAAATGGATCAGCTACGTCAACAGTTGAAATGGATCAGCTATCTCCATAATTGAAATGGATCAGCTAGCCAATGTTTCCAACTGAAATGGATAAGTTATATCTCCAACTAAAATGGATCAGCTATGGAGCAGCCAATATCTCCAGCTGAAATTGATTAGCTAAGGAGCGACCAACGTCTCCAGCTAAAAGGGATCAGTTATGGAGTAGCAAATATCTCCAGCTGAAATGGATAAGCTGTGGAGCAACAACTAAAATGGATCAACTATACCAACAAAATAGTAGCTAAAAAGGATCATCTCATCTACATCAATTAGTAGATTAAAAGGATCAACTCATCATCTCCGCCTCTTCTAAGCAGAAAAAATGCTTAGTTCTTCACCATCACTCCTGCCAAATCCTTTTTGACAATCATGATGCAATCTATGAACACATATTTTTTACACCCTTATACCATGAAAAATCATTCATAACAGTTGTGGTTCAAACTAGTATCGGTCAAGAATCGAAAGATAACCTAGAAGTCAAAGGTGACATTTGTCCACTCTTATAGTCACAACTCTTTTCATAGATAAAATATTGGAACAATCTTTATACCATTGAAAAAAACTAAATAATAAAAACTTTTTAAATGTATATGGCATGTTAATCTAGGTTAAAACGGGCCATGAACCAGACATAAAATCATTGCAAATCAATGTAGATCAAAAGGACTCAGAATGAGCTTTCTCCACTATTTTGATCAGAACTCGAGCTACAAATGAAATTTGCAGTGATTGAAGTTGGGTTAGGAACTAGAAATCCATAGATTTTCAACGGTGTATCATAAGTCAAAATCAAAGTTGATTTGTGCTTTGAAATACACGAATCAAACTGCGTGTACAATGTTGAAATGTCCCGACTGCCTAACCTAAGTCGATCAACCTTTAGGATATGGCCGGTTGACCGCCGATCAATCACTTGCAGCGGTTGATCGACCATGACCAACTATCGCTATCGGTCAACCGCTCAAGGACAAGTGCCCAAAATGCAAAAATCCCACATCGGACGCACAAGAACACCCCCCCTAAATTCATTTTTCCTATAAATATAACTTATTTTCACCTCCAAAACACACAATATCACACATTTCTCTCTCTAGAACAATTTCTCATTACAAAGTACATTCTAGAAGTTTTAGTTGAAACGTTCCTTTGGCTTTCTAGCTCTCTTCTCATCTCTTCCACTCTCTTGAGTGCCCTAAGTGGGTGGGGCGATTCCTCCAGCTCGCTTTCCCCTTAATCTGTTCTTTAGCCTAGAATTAGGTCTCCATACCTTTGGATTAAAGCCTCTTTGGCTCATCAAGCCTATACTAAAAAGCCTCCTATGGGTTTATGTCCTCCTTAGTCCCATAAACCTCACTTGGCTTAGATTTTCCACTTTTGAAATCTAAGTCAAGTTGAAGCTCTAAGAGCAAAGGTCCTAAACTCACTCGTCCGCCAAAGAAGAAGGAGCTGAGCCGATCCACCCTTCGGTCAACCTTCCAATCTGCCCACCAATCAACACTCTGATCAACTGCTAGTCTGACCAAAACATGCAGGTAAGTCCTCTATGGCTCTTAGCTTTTTAATGTTTGCTCTATTCTTCTAAGTGGCCCCAAATGCCCTTCTTTTCGAAAATGGAAATCCAAAGCCAAAATCCATTTTTAATCCAAAATCTAGCGATCTAAAGCAAAGAAAATACATTTTGCATGACCCAAAGCTGAAATTCATCTTTTAATCCAAAATCTGGCGATCCAAAGCCAAGAAAATATATTTTTAATCCGTCAATCCAAAGCTAAGAAAATCTATTTGCGACGATCCAAAGCCAATTGTTTTTCATAAAATGGCAATTCAACACCTATAAAACATAATAAAAAAGGTCTTCGATGAGCCTATTTTCCAATTAAAATCAATCAACCCCCATTTTACAATATATAGAACTGATTGGTCCTGATTGTCATTCCAAGAGATAAGCAGGCATGCTCGAGTTTTTAAAATCGAGCTGCAGACCAAATTCACCAAAAAAAAACTCTTTTCTACCTTTCTTTTTCTTCTATTTTTAATTGGGAGATGTATGATTGCCCTAAAATCCCCAACAATGGGCTAGAGGCAATACTTCCTTATTTTGTAATTAGCTTGCATTCCTTGCTTTATTCTTCTTTCATTGCTTTATTGCTTTATATAAATTTCATTCTTCTTCATCTTAAGTTTTTTTTAATTGTAGATTGAACATTAATTAAGGCTAAATGATTGATCATATTTAAACTTAAAACCTACTCCCTAAATCCTTTAGTGAACCTAACCCAAAATGAGTATTCAATCCTATTTAGTGGTTCAAACCTGGCGCTTGGGTCAGGGCCTCATAGTTAGTAAACAAACATGTTTTTTTTCTCTCTTAATAAAAGATTATGTGAAGCTATTTGTTCCTGCAAGGAATCGAAGTTTAAATTTTTATTCGAGAGATTATTTTCTTTTTATTTTCATTTTCTTGTATTTGATTTTTCTATTGTAGAATTTTTTATTTCCTTACGTTTTTATTTTATTTTAAAAGACAAATAAATTACTATCAAATGATAATATAAATACACATTTGCCTATGCCTGTGACACTATTAATTTGTGCCTAGTCAACAATTATCATCATGTAAAAATTTGTATTTCAATATTCCGGTAACCAATAAAACACTTTATGGAAAAATTTTTAACAGTGATCGAAAATATTTTCTGATCAAATACGAAAATATAAAATTTTGAAAAGTTCGAACACCAAATTTATAACTAACCATATTTCAAATATCTGATGCCTTCCTCGTTTCTTTTTTTTTTTTTTTTTTTTATCAAAAATGAATCCAACCAATTGATTTGGTTTTAATAACTATGTTTTGACCTTTATGAAAAAAAAAAGAAAGAGTTAGACTCGATTCAATTTAAAAACCAAAATAATAAATTGAATCAAATTGATTTAATTCTATTTCATTTGGTTCAATTCTGTACACAATTTCAGCTTGATCCGACTCTATTTCTTTTCAAAATAAATCCTTTGATTTGAATCGATTTGAACAAAACCCACTCCTAACAGGTGAAATTTCAATTGCTGCTTAGCTATGTATGTTTGCGAGACTTGTGGCATGACTCCATATTGTGCAGCAACAGGATTTCATTCCTGAAAGCCATGCATCTTCCTAATTTTGAGGTATATTAGCACCAAAATGGATAGAAAATCTGTACACGAACAAAATAGATGCATTTCTAAGGTAAAAGTACAAACATTCTATGCTGTCAAGAAACAAGTAGGGTCGAAAAGTAGCAAAACCCACTCAAAATCGGAAAAGCCGATGAGTTCTCAGTGTGAACTGGAAGCCTGCTTTCTTAGTTGATCTACTATACAACCTTACTTCCACAAAGAAAAAGATAACATGGAAACCACAGTTGCTTATGCAACTAAAGTTTGAGAGCCTCTCTGAACCCAATGCTGAAACTATTTTTTAGGCTCGTCCTACCATGACCTGCCACATTCCCTTTCTGCATCATAGCCACAAACTCGTTGTAATCTATGAGTCCGTCCTGCAAAATTTATACACAGATCTCATTACAGACTTTTGAGCATCTAATAGAGAAGGAAAATGGACAATTGACATGCGAAATGTGACAGAGTCTGTTACACAGAAATATCAATAACACAATTTAAGCTGCATATCCACTCTGCCATTCTAAATGAATTTCCAATTTTCCAAAGGAAAAACCATAATAGAAAGTAAAGCCACCAATCCTTCATTCAAATAGTTATGAATACTGTGGTACATTATTATTATTTTTATTTATTTATTTTTATTATTGGGGAAGGGGGAAATTCAATTTAGGTGTTTACCCGAGTTATATATGCACTTTACCGCCTAGATAAGCAAACAAAAAAAAAAAAAGAAGAAACTTGAACGTTGTCAATTATTTATTGAATTTGAGGTAGATAGTATATCAGGCAAAACAAAAAAAACTTACATTGTCTTGATCAACTTCTCTAATCATTTCTTCTAAGCGAACATCCTCTATGCCAAACTCCACGCAAGCTTGTTGAAGCTCATCTGGAGTAATATAACCACTTCCATCCTTATCAAAGTATGAAAAAGCTGCAAATAGATGATCCTCTCTCTCAATTTTGTTGAGATGCAATGTTGCAGCTATAAACTCTCCATAATCAATCGTGCCACTGTTGTCTACATCAGCCTGCAATTGAGAGAGACAATTTTAGAATGAATTTCTTCTATCCTTCATTGATTTGTGTGATTCATTATCAACAAGCCCCTCTTTTTCAAACCATTAAGTACATACGACAGCCTCTGGATTAAACCACTTAAAGTGAACACAGTTACTGCAGTAATTTTTCCTTGTTCAACAACACAAAGTTTACAATTTTTAACCTGAAAACAAACGTATGAAGTTTTTTATTGGAATACTCGCTTTGATATTCTCCCATCAATTTCTCTCACCACACATGCACACATGTCCTTTTCATATCATACAACACAGCACTATTTTCCAAAGATTAAGTACCAGGTAACTTACAGCAATCTTCAGCTTGAGTACATACTTTTTCCCCATATTTTTAGTTTTGTTCTCCGTTTCTAGTTCCTATTTTACAATGAGAAATTGGCAAAAAAAAAAATGCCAAACATTTCCAAAATAAGAATGTTTTCCATATAAAGGAAAACTGGAAAACCATGTTCAAGAATACACATTCCCTTTTTAATCCAATATATATCTTAACAATATGTAGGTTAACTTGCTATTAAAATAATTTTGTTCTTTTCATGAAGAGAATCCAAACACTCTTGTAAATTCAAAGAGAAAAATAGAGCCAAGCTACATAGAAGCAAGATAATAAAATTATCTTTCTTTAAAAATGAAAATTATTTTAAAGCGAAGAAAAAAGGTGAAGAATATCATGTGAGGGGAAGGCATGGGAAGAGCACTATAAGAAAGGGATAAAAGAAAGGAGCACTCTTTATTTGTAGAAGAATGTGGAAAACGTGTTAAATTTATTCCAGAGGATCATTGTAAATTTGAGAAATTTAGAATATTTTCATAGTTGAACGTATAAACACTATTTTCCAGTTTTCTGAGGAAAATTTAGAGGAAAAGAATCCAGTGTTTCTACACCTGAACACAACGCTTTTTTTTTCTTTTGAATAAAAAGTATTTCAAAATTTTTTCCAACTTATACTTCATTTTGCATCGATATTAACTTGATCAAAGAGGACATTGGAAACAAAGGAATTATATAGCCGACCCTAACTAGTTTCGGACTAATGCTTGGTTGTTGTTGATTTGTAAAATATTAAACATCCCAGAATTTACTACAACGCAAAAGTGACAGTAGAAAAGCACACTTAGCATGTGTTTGTGTGTATATTCGTTTATGCAGTACTGGTGCTACTGTGCTAGTAGTGGTATCAATATTGTGACAGTCCATAAGTGCAAATGGTGGTGGCTGCAGCAGAAATCACCTGAACTGCTTTTCTCAAAAAACTGGACCTAGATCAAATGATACTTACTGCTTGCATTAGATCATAAATTTCTGATTCCTTGAGATTGGCTCCAACTCTTCTCAGTCCAGCCTTAAGTTCTTCAAAACTGATTGTACCATCATTGTCTGTATCTATCATCTTGAACATCTCTTTTAGGCCAGCTATTTCTTCTTCAGATAGGTTCTCTGCAATTACCTGTTTGTGAGAAGAGGTGGATTCAATTTTCTATATAAACAGGAAAAGCTTGTGCAACATCTGCAGCTTAAATGATTTATTATCTCAGCAATTTATTTCAACTCCAGATTTCAAACATTCAACCATCTTATATTCAAAAGGCATTCAGGGTTTCTTTCTCTTCTTACTTGTCTATCACATCAGGGACTTACTCTAAGAGCCATTTTCTTAAGCTTGTTCATAGCAGAAAATTGCTTCATGCGACTTAATACAGCAGAATCCAGAGGCTTGTCAGGAGCTACACCATCTTCCTGTACCCAAGGGTGACCTGCAAGGAGTTCAGTTACATAAACATAAATATGACAGAAAGAGCAGCTTAAGAAAGAGACCAATAGTTTAATGACCACAGTGGCTTAAGAAAGGATTCTGCATTCTCAAGGGAGAAACCATTGATTGCTTTGGGAGGGCAAAGTTCAGAAAAAAAAAATTCCTTAGTGGAAAAGAAAAATTATTGTTAAAGTTCAAGAAACTATCCATCCCTCCCCCCCCAAAAAAAAAACAGTAAAAATACAAATGAAAATAAAAATAAAAAGAAATTTCGGATCCACAAAGAGAAGGTGGGGGAGGGATTTCCAACTCCGAGTTCCACCTCTGTATTGTAATATAACTATCAGCAAGACCAAAGAAAATTGTGCAAAGGAACTTGCATCTTGCAATGATCTCCATTAAAGATTAGAATTTAGAACAAAAATATTATAAGTATTCATCAATCTAAATGATTTAATCATTCATGTAATCTCTATTCTTTGTTTAAGCAATAGTTGAAACTTGAAAGTTAACATCAGTAGTTCAACTGGAGAGAGTGACAATGAAGGGGGGCAGGAAGGGAAGAGAATAATTGCCAAGACTCACGTAGAACTTCATGTGCAGTTATCCGCCTTCTGGGATCTCGCGCAAGCATTCTCCTCACCAAATCCTTAGCACCTTCTGAGATACTAGGCCAAGGTTCTGAAGAAAAGTCAAGATCACCATGCAAGACCTGGTCGAAAATCCCTTGCTCGGTCTCTAAATAAAAAAAAATAAAACCAAAAAAAGAATAAGAAACAGAAAAAATCAGTTACCTTGAATCAAACATAAATGATATTCTAACATATATACTCAAGAAATAAGTTCTGTAAGTTAATAAATGAGAAAAGTCTCACCTGCCCAAAAGGGGGGCACTCCACATAATAGAATGTAAACGATTACTCCAGCACTCCAAACATCTGCTTCTGGACCATATCGCTTTTTCAGAACTTCTGGAGCAACATAGTAAGGACTGCCAACCACATCAATAAATTTTTCTCCTGGAAAGATAACAGTTCTTGATTAGAGTCAAATCTGTGGCTTGTACATAAAAGACACACTCAACAATAAGAATGCTTGTACATAAAAGACAGACCCAACAATAAAAATGAACTACATTTGATGTCATGATGGTAGTAGTTGTACGTTAGAGCCCTATCAGCTAGTTCTGAACTTATAAACTCGAAAGCAAATAATCTAAAGCACTTTTTCATAGGTCCAATGAAACATCTTTGACTAATGTAATTTCAGAATTTCATAATCAAGCTGTGAACTATTTTCCACCTATGCAATTGGAGTTCTCCTAGTCGAACAAAACATTTATTTTTGGAAAATTCAATTTATATGGAATTGCAAAATTCTACAGATGATAATCAGGCAGAAGTTGCAATATTGCACGTGAGAATGGCTTAATATGTGCAAAATCAAAGAACTTGGAAATGATAAGGTCCTGTTACATCAATATGCTCTTTCAAAATTACAAGCGATAAAATTAGAATTGGAAAGCCAGAAAGAAGAGAGGAAAAACATCATATAGGTGCATAACTGCATCATTTGCAGTGCTCAGGGGTGGATTTCCAGGGGGCCCCAAGGGAATAATCATACAATAAGTCTTACAACACTTAAAAAAGATTCAAAAAATTATTTTAAATAACATTTTTTCTCATGTAACACCATAAACATCTTTCCTAAGCACCTTTAACATATTCAGATTGAACATGTATCAAGCAGAATGTAAACTTAAGAATGTCAAATCGGTACATCTCTACACAACTAAAGAAAGTGTAATTTTGTGGTACAAATGTGTTGCTTATTTGTATAAAAAAGTGGTTTACCTAAAGACATGTTATAAAATTTTTGGCCCCTCTAGAGTTCCAACATTGGATCAGTGCCTGATGGTTCTATATCGACAGCTATGTGCATAAAATGCAAAATATGCTCTCACATATGTGTCATTAGGCATTCTATGACATAGTGAATATATTTGATACTGCAGCTAGTTGAATGTTTACAGATTAAGAAAACTATCGGAGAAACTAATTCTGCTAGGAGGTTAGCTGACAAGAGTTTCACTAAATTCCATGTATATCCATATATTGCTTACAGAAGTTGACTATATCTGGTACAGCTCATCTGTTAACACCAGCTGTTCAAGAAGATTGCAAACTTCAAGTGAGTAGCTAAGCATGCAGTAAATAATTTTTCGAGTTGTGTGTTTAATGTAAGAGCAGCATGCAACATAGTTTATTCAACAACAGAATACAATCATGAGAAGTAGTGAGAAACAAATGGAATGGCAAACCAGCATAAATACTGAGCAGCAATTCCAATAACTACTAATAAAAGTATAAACATATGAATATACCAGGCTTGAAGAATATTGATAATCCAAAGTCAATTGTTTTGAGAAGTGAGTCCTCCTGTTGATTGACGAAAAGAAAATTCTCAGGCTTAAGATCCCGATGCATCACGCCTAAAGAATGGCAAGCCTCAACAACCCCAACTATTGTCCTAGTGAGCTCAGCTGCCTGCCTTTCTGAATAATGCCCACGCTGAACAATCCTATCAAAGAGCTCACCGCCGGCACAAAGCTCCATAACAACATGGACTGCCATTGCATCCTCATATGCCCCTTTAATAGAAATGACATTTGGATGACCAGACAAATGATGCATAATCTGAATTTCCCTCCTAACATCCTCCACATCCTCATCAGTTAGCAATTTTCTCTTTGCAATTGATTTGCAAGCATACTCTTTTCTTGTAGTTTTCTCTACACAAAGAAATGTAGTCCCAAACTGCCCTTGTCCTAGTTTCCTTCCCAAAGTATAGAACTCCTTAAAATTTCCAGTTTTAGTTTGTAATACAGAATCAACCTTGAGCCCCGCACTTGACACCCTTTTCATTTGAGGGCCCTTCTTAGGTTTGGAGGGTTGCTCTGGATTTTCCGGTTTTTCTGGTTTTGGCATTATTACTTGTTCTGGTGGTTTGCTTTGAACAGGCATAGGAGATTCGGGTTCTTTAGATATTGCCTCATGGACAGATTCTCCATTAGCCTGCGAAATGGAATCATCTGGTGATCGGGACCGCCACATTGCTGCAGATACCGATTGAAAAAATCCATTTTTGGAAATGCTTGGTCCTACACAAGTATTACCCATTTTTCTCCTCCACTCTTAATCGCTACTATAGACTTCAACAACTCCTACTTCAAAATCTAATCTTATTCACCATATTAAAAAAACTGAACTTTTCTTTTTTTTCAGTTTAGAGTTGATGGTTTTATTCTCTCCAAACTTATCAATGAATATCAAAATTAAATCTTGACGTAGCTTATGAAATGAACAAACAGATGAATTGAAGAAAGGGAAAAAAAGGTCAAGAAATTGAAGTAATTATAAAAGAAATAATTAATGATTAACTTATCAAACAAACTATTATTAGAAACAGGAATATCCAATAAATGCAACAGATAAAAAACCCAGATTAGGTCAACCAATTTCTAAACAGTAAACGATTCAACCTTCTGGTTAGATCAAATCTATCACTTATACAGTTAAAAAATATGGAAAAAAATACCCTTTACTTATTTGTCTAAGAAATAGTCAATAACAAAGTAAATAAGCATTACTCCAGAAAGTAAGAAAAAGGCATAAAAAAAAAAAAAAAGAAAAATACAAGAAGAACAAAACAAATTAGAAAGAGACAAGCTCGTAAGAAATTGAAAAAACCAACTAGAGACTGAACAAAGGAATTAAACTAGCCTTCCCCGAGTGAAGAAATAAAAGAAAAAAAGTGATCTTCAAAGAAAAATAGTCACAAGCTAGAGTAGTACCAGGTCTCAACTCTGAAGCTGAATTAAAATGGAAAAAAAAAAGGAGAAGAAAGAGAAAGAGTGATGATGGGTTGGGATTATTATGACTTTCTTTCTGGTGGTTAGTGTTTGTCTTTCCGTCTTCGTGTGAACGTGCAAAAGTCCTGGCTTTGTTTACATCAAACAAATTTTATTTTAATACATTATATTTCGGGCAAGAGGATTTTTTGGATTGTGTCAAGGAGTTGGGACCATGAAGAAAACGCGTGCATTTTAGCAGCCGGATGTTTCAATCACCGGACTTTGCGGATAATTGTATTCAAGGGTCCACGTATGACCTAATGCCAAACTTTCTCAACGATTCATTCTTTTAAAGTACATACCATATTAGCAACAATATATTCAATTCCATAAATATAAAAGTTTTATTTGATGATGATTTATTAAAGATAAAAAGATATGGATTTTAAAAATAAAACTCAATGTCCCCATATGATATCTCACATTTCTTGTATTTTCTTTATAGAGATATTATAGTCATGCATTTTCATACATTTATGAGTTCATATCTGTAGTTTTTGAAAAGAGAGTTTTATTTCTCAATACTGTGTGTGTTATTATCCAATCTCTACTATATATATATATATATAAAAGATTGTTCCAATATAAGAAGTAATTTAAATAGGAATAAACCTAAACTAGGAATATTTACTCTAATTAGGAATAAACATAAATTAGGAAAGACAATGTTTACTCTAATTACAAAGATTTCAACACTTCCTCTCAAGTCGGTGCACAGATATTACACATGCCCAATTTGCAAACTAAATGATGAAACAACTTGCTATTCAAACCCTTTGTGAAAACATCAGCTAGTTGCTCTTTTGAAGTTATATAGGAGAAACTTATAAAATCTTCAACTATCGTCTCTTTTTATAAAGTGACGATCAATCTCCATGTGCTTAGTTTGATCATGCTGGACTGGATTATTCATAATACTTACGATTGCTTTACTATCACAAAACACAGATATATTTGTTGTTTCAACAAACTTTAACTCTTCCGTAAATATGTGCAACCATAGGAGTTCACAGATTCCTTGTGCCATAGCTCTAGATTCAGCTTTTGCACTGGACCTTACAACAATAGCCTGCTTCTTGCTTTTCCATGTGACCACGTTTCCTCCAATTCCATAAATATACCATATTAGCAATCCGCATCTGTATAGTCTATTATTGTCAAATGGCCATGTTTAGAAAATAAAAGTCTCTACCTAGAGCTGGTTTTAAATATCTTAGAATCCGATGCATAGCTTCTAAGTGAGACTCCCGAGGGTCATGCATGTACTGACTCACTAAACTTACAACATAGACAATATCTAGTCTAGTATGGACAAGATAAATTAACCTCCCAATCAATCTCTGATACCTACCAACATCAACTGGACTTCCCACTTCAGCTTGAACCTTATGATTGGCTTCAATAGGTGATTCTGTAGGTTTACATCCCAACATACTAGTTTCTTTAAGGAGATCAAGGATGTACTTTCTTTGAGAAATGAAAATCTCTTTATCTGATCTAGCAACTTCTATCCTAAGGAAATATCTCAACTTTCCCAAATCCTTAATCTCAAACTTCCTAGCTAACAAACTTCTCAAGTGAGTCATTTCTTCTTTTCTGTGTAGCCTGCGAGTCGTGGTCCACGTGGAATATTTACCGCCGTTTCGATTAATTAGAGCGGAGATGCAGGACATTATGCACTAATGGAGACCGCCAAAACATCTCTTGGCGGCGATACCATCTTACCCTTTTACCTATTAGGCCCTTACTAAAAAATTTTGCTCGGCAGGTTAACATGGAAAAGCAGATAGTGGTGTCGTGCGAAAAGCACCAACGTGTTAAGACTCTGCGGACCGAGAAACCTATGTACCGCTCGCGAAGAGTGGAGAGCACAAACGCACTTGTCCCACGAGTCTCGAGGTGGTATGCAGATCTTGGGGAGGGATCAGGCCCATAAGCGGCTTTTTATCCTTCCCTTCCGGTGGAAGTTACACTGAGTTAACCTCGCGATCATGAGCCATGCTCGGGGTCCTTCCGCCTTGCCCTTGCCAAGTTATCCTACCACTCGGCAACGTTGCGAGAGATTGACATAAGAAATATCATACCCTTATAATTGTTTTTGTGCCACACCCTTTAGCGCGCGCCTATGAGACTTTTCGGAAGCCAGGCATGCGAGGGTCGCTTGGGTTGGGTTGTTGTCCCCGCTCTCTCGCGTCAAGGTTCCCAACACGAACCAGCATGACGCTCATGCCTAATTACTTTCTCTCGACGCTTTTCTCCTGGGATACTACCTGGTATCTGTAGCCAAATCCCCAGTTTCTTCTCCGAGACCGCGAAAAGAAACTATCCTCACATTCTGTGTCTCTTATACTGAATGGCGTTTTGCCTACACTGTTCAAAATTCTTCCTTCCCCCCATCTTTTCGGTGAGCATGTTTAAGCCTCCTACCCGCGCCCCTACTTAAGAAAAACTTAGTCCTACCTAGAGCACTTTCAGAGCATACTCTCCTCAGCCCTTTGGCTCCAGAATCCTTTAGGATCATGCCTCTCTTAGTACAAACCAAGGTTAGCCAAATTCTAAGTCTTATCACATTCCAAGAATTGGAATACTTCTCACGATGATGGAACCTTTTTCATTCTTTTCGTGTACTGTCTCACCGTTCCGGAAGAGGGGCCATGTCTGCTATCTTTGGCTGTTCCCCTCTTTTACTCACTCCTCTTATACGCCCTGCGCAGCAATTGACAATTATAGTGCCCACCAAATGAAAGCTCCACACTCACATCCACCAATAAGGAAGTAATACTGAGCGTTGAAAGAACGTTCTTTTCATATCAGAAGATGTGGACATAACTATAACTAGTATCACCAATTGCTATGGTCTAGCCCTCGAAACGGTAGTTACTGCGCGCTCTGTTACCAAGTTAATCTTATCCCTCTATGGCGAAAGTACCACAACGAATCTCAGAACAGTCGAATTTCCAGAGAGAGGGAAAATTTGTGAGCCCTGAGAGGTAACCCATACTCTAGTCATCATTTACTGAGAGGAGAAGCACAGAAAAAGTTCTAGAGCTATAGGCTCACTAAGCACTAGGCGAAAATGGGTATCCTAAGTCGTCATATAAGTCAAGATCAAAAACCGTTGAAGTTTGTAACGACGATACACTATAAACAATTGATATTGGTGTCAGGAAAGCCTTTTCTGAACGGTGGCGGAGTCCAGTGAAAACTTTAACCCCGAAACCCCGCATATACCGAAACGGACATAGCTCATTACCACAGAGAACCCATACTAGAGAAGCGCTTCAAGGAACCCAGATTATTAGTAGGATGTAGGGGCCAGCCCGCAAGCTTCCGACCATCCTGAGGGGTCTTTTCTGCGGCCTAATCTGTCTCTGACAGTATACTACACCGAGCACAGTTTTCATCCAACCGTGGTTCTACTCAAGGGGCCTGTCTCATAACTCAGAAACCGGAATTCAATTGCCGTTTAGCACCCTTCTAATATGAAAAGACTTCTCTAGTTAGAATTGAATAGTAAACGGAAAATGATTATACGGCACTTCCCAGTAAGGTACCACGCTAAGGTCATTAGAACTGTCTCATTTTTGTCATGATGAAGAAAAAAGAGTTGCCGTCAATACTTATGCCTAACGCCATCTATTCAAAGATCAAGAGTAAAGGACAATTCTTGCAAGTGTACTTCCAAAGAAAGTCAAGTGAGGATAGCCAATAATAGTGCAAATTCTTAGCTCTTGAGCAAGAAAGGGTACTAAAGATATAAATGATTTCAATTATTGGTTGTATAAACAATGCGCCCGAGAGATGAGACGAGCAAAGCCGGCGCGCCAGACCACCTGGTCATTAAAGAAAAACGTAGAACATAGCTCCGGAGTCCGAAAGGAATTGAAAAAACACCCGCCCATAACTGTGTGAAGAGAAACATATGGGCGGATATCAAGAGGAATGTAAACTGAGTCGTCACCTTCTTCGCACTCGAGGGTGTGGATTCAAAAAATAAAAAGAAACTAGATCAAAAAGTGAATTCTTCAATCAAGAAGAGAAAATAATTAGGGTACTCACAAGCTTGTCATGAAGTAGTACACGCGCGTGAAGTGTCGTCACAAACTCTGAAGGGGTTGACTTAGAGATAAATAAAATGGAAACCATAAATAAAGGACGATCCAAGGAACCACCGAGAGGCCCAAAACATTATGAGGTTGAGACTGGAAGAGGGCCAGAGACTTATGTGGAATCACATCTTCTTATCTCCCGCACTCTTTCCTTAGCTGGCTACGGCGATTTCAAATGCTGTTAGTTGTACTTTTTCACCTGGTCTTCCATCGTGATGAAACGGTGCGAAAAGATAACGCCCACCTGAGCCTTATTATGCGTTTAATGTACTTCAACAAAACAAAACTTCCCTTAATATGTTCCTTACAATTGACTAATGATTTTTTATACCATGGTCATGCGGGCAAGAGGTTTTGAGAAGTCATGGATGGAGTGTTGTTCAAGAGCGACTTCTGGGCACACCATATGAAGTGTGGAAGATAATACGTCCCGTGCATATTAATTAGCCCAGGCAAGGATGTTTTCAATATATGCGACTGGCATGGTGAAACAAATCTTAGCGATCGGTGTTTATAATCTTCCGTTACACTATCAGGCTGTCCCCATACGTATGCGTACTTCTTAATTCCAGAAGGCGACGAATTACAAGTCCTCTTCGGTCGAACACTGGGTGATTCTTCATTTCTCAGTCTTTTCTTCTCATAAGAGTCACATACCTAATTCATACTTAAGCAATACAGATAAGCATTTATTTCTAAATTCCATAAGCACATTACTATCTTGAATAGGTCTTCTTAAGTTTCCATGCGCATATTTGTAAGAGGTGAATTATATTGTATACAAAGATAGAAAATATGATATGTGTAATCGATTCCATACAAAATTAGTAAAAACTAGCACAGACTTGGTCCAGGACTCTCCATATTTTGATTGGTTATTGTCTCACCCATTAGTTTGACAATACTGATGAAGGTATTATCTTAGTGTATAGAGCATGATATCACCTTATCAATAAGACACACAAGTCATATCCCCTTCCTATGACGCACTATCTTTTCCAGTAACCCATTTTATGAG